GAGGAGATCTGTCGGCTGCGGGCTCCGCCGCCGGTACCCCGTGGTGGGGGCAAGGGACGGAGGGGCCACCCCGGCTGAGCACGACCCGGTGAGTGCCTTTGCTTTCTCCAGGGGGTTTGGTCGGCGAGTCCTCCTAATTACAACGCAGGTGAAGGTCACCCTTGGCCACGCCGGTGGGATGCCCATCTCCTCCCGCAGCGATAACCTGGGACGCGTAGCTGACCGCGGTGGCACGCGTGCTGTCCCCAAAGGGAAGGTGCTCGGGGACGGCTGGCACCCCGCGGCTCGTTTGGGCACCCCAGGTTCCCGCGCGGGGCAGGGGGCAATGAGGCGCCAGCTGGGTCGTCTGCTCTGGAAGCACCAGAAACGCGGGGTGGACCACTGCCTGGCCCCCGTGGAGGACCCTGGGCTGCTCTGGGGGTCTTGGCTGTGTGGAGACGGGCCGTGCCCCCCTCCCGCAACACCCGCTTGACATTGGGAGTGGGGAGCTGCAGGTCTCACGCTGCCCTGTGCTGACTTTTCCAGTTTACCTTTTGAAGAACATCTTGGAGCTCAAGTTGACAGGATTTTGGGGTAGCCCAGGTCAGCCTCTTTGCTGTTACCCCAAATCCTGACCCACCTTTGAGCGGTGGTGACCTGCCACCGCAGCGGCATCCCTTCTCAACCCCAACCCTTCCCACAGTGACCTGCTCTCCAGCCCGTGCTCCTGGCGAGGGGGTTCCCCAAACCCAAGCCCACCAAGTTAAACCCCAAACCCCTCCAAGGATAACCCAGCTCCCAGTCTGCACCCCCATCAACCCACCGGGGTGGGGTGGGGTGGGAGGGCCACATCTTTCTGCCGCAGACACCATGGGGTCCCGGCATTTCTACGACCGGCCCGTGCGGACCGTGCTCTTCGAGAAGGAGTCCAACGGCGTCACGTACCGCGTGCCCGCCCTGCTCTACCTGCCCTGCGTGGCCAAGCTGCTGGCGTTCGCGGAGGAGCGGCTGAGCGCCGACGATGCCCATGCCAACCTGCTGGTGCTGCGCCGCGGCACCGTCTACGGGAGCTACGTGGAGGGGGGGCCCCCCACCGTGTCCCTGCACCAGGGCTTGGGGAGGGACACACACACACACGCGCTGGGTTGGGGCATGGAGACAGTTGGGTGATTACCCTCACCTGTGCATGGCACAGCCAAGTGGCATGAGGCAGGTGGTCCTCACCCCTCTCCATCCTCTTCTTGCTGGGCAGTGGGAAGACATGCGTGTGCTGGAGACGGCGACGCTGCAGCACCACCGGTCGATGAACCCCTGCCCACTCTATGACGAGTTCACTGGCACCCTCTTCCTTTTCTTCATCACGGTGCTGGGCAGGACGCCCGAAGCTTACCAGATCGTCACCGGCCAAAACGTCACCCGCCTCTGCTGCGTCACCAGCGCCGACCAGGGCCTGAGCTGGAGCAAGGCCATGGACCTGACGCAG